ATCCCTGGAGGTGTTTAAGAGTCGGGTTGACATAGCGCTGAGGGATATGGTGTAGCTGGGAACTGTGTTAGGTTAATAGTTGGACTAGGTGATCTTCAAGGTCTCTTCCAACCTAGATGATTCTGTGATTCTGTGTGCTATTTGATTACACTCACACCCTCAAAAATTAAGTATTCTGACACATTCTCTACCATTATAGCATCACTTTTTTTTCCTATTGCAACTACTAAGCATAATCTACAGGAATATCAAGCCATTGAGGAGATGGCAAGCTGCTGAGGAGAAGTAACAATTCTACAGATGTAGGTTTGTTGCGGTTGGTTCCTACTTTCCAGAGAACTGCTTTTACTACTTGGAAATTCCCTATAGCTAAAAGCTATTAAATAATTCAATATTTCAATTTTACTACAAGTCACTACCACAACTGAATTATGTGACAAAATTCAAATGAAACTAAAAGCCATGTAAAGGAAAAAAAAAAAAATCTTTACCTTTAAGTAATTTTTAAAAACTTTAGCATCAGGCTGCTGAAGTGCTTGACAGAATTCCTGTAAGAGAATTGAGAAATACTAAATGAAGCAACAAGACAATCTGAGATATGTTAGGAGCACAACGAATACCTTGTATGTAAAGCCACTGATACTTGTTTGTGTTTTCCCTAATGTGCAACCAATGAAAAGCATGTTATGGATAAAAAAATGTAGTAGGCTATGACAAGCAGGTCCATTCTGGGCTGAAAAAAACATCTTACTTTCAAATACAGGCTATCACATTCACTTTTAGCTGAATAAAGAGAAACAGGACTATCTACAAGGACTGTGATCAAGGAGGTTCTAAACCTTTAACTTTTCCAGTAACTTTTGGTGGCTTTGAGTATTTCAGAGGAACATTTATACTTATGAAGTGTTATGTGTACACCAAGTGACTCTAGATTACAGCATAACATGCCTCATTTGAAAGACTTATAATCTTAGATCAGAAAACACTGGGGCACCAGCAAAAAGTAATAATTGATTCTTAAATATATTTAACACCACATAAAAGTTCTGCAGTTTAAGTCTTATAATGAGTATAATTGTCTCCCAGTGCAGCAAACCTGATTACTATAGTATCCAAATTGGTTGCAATTAAAGTTGTCAGTGTTCATCTAAGAATTTCATCATGGCAATATTTACCATATGGCTAGCAATGCTTAATATTAAGACAGCGGTCAGGTGTAAAGTTTCATTTTTGAAAACCCTCTTACACCACTCCAATGCAAGCACACAAAAACCTCATGCAATGTTGTACATCATTTTTGACAGTAGAACCAGTTCTGTGGCTTACATTTCTGTAGTGTTGAATACAGCCTTTATCATCACACTTCCTGTACATTAAACATTCTTCATCTTACTTTTGAATTTTCACTCTGTCCTTTTTCTTCAAGTTAAAATATGATTTAAAGTAGGAAGATGGCTTCGACAGTCACATGCACTGGACTTTTTTTTTGCAAGTACTCTTGCTCCTTATGCTAAATTAATCCTATTCCAATATGCAATATCAGAATAAGTTTTACTGAGGGGTGGTAGGAGCTTAACTTTGTCAGCATTAATTTTGTTCCCATTTAACATTTATGATGGCTAAAAGTTTTCCAAATGTTCTTTTAGGAATTCCTACCTGAATTATCTCAGGAGCTACTTGTAAAGAAGGCAAATACTCTTGCTGAAGATACTGAATGCACTCAGGGCCCTAAAGGAAAGCAGTACACAATTTGTTGAAATGTATTTTCATACAAATGGGAAGTCATAGCTCTATACTATATGGTATAGAAGAGTATGAAAACAGGTGGTCTACATGACTATTGCACAGAGAAGTTATGCATATCAAATACCAGATGTTCATGCTATTCTCAGCTGTCAGCAAAGAAAAAGATTTCTCAACACTGGCATTAAGGACTCTACTGCAGTGTAGTATCTTTTGTTACAGAGCAGAGGAATGCACTGAAAATTGTACTAAAGTACAAATTACAATACAGCCAGTCAGTTTGTGACATGTCAACTATAAAAGTCACTTAAGTAAGAAGGTGGCCCTAATTTCACTGATATATGAAAGAAAAAGAAGAAATAAAAATATGGCAATTAGTATTTGCCATACTACTCCCATTGCAAATTTTAGTAGCCAAGTATCCCTGAACATAGTGTTTCTCTTCTTGTAACTTTGACTATGTAATTTGCAGTAGACTAAACACTAATAAAATGGCACTTCCAAACCTTTGAGAGGAACAGACAGGTCTGTTTTGGTTAACACATTAGCTTGTTTTCTTTATCTGCATTTATCAGATAACACTCATTACAAGAGGGACTACTGTACACTGGCAGTATACAAACATGACCAGATACATCTACCAGGAGAAAGTGAATCAACTTTATTGATTAACACTTAAGTTACCCCAGAACTATAACATGGTATACAGTTAACATGAGGGGAAGAGATTTTTTTTTCCTGTATTTGTATCAGTAGTGTTAAAAGAAACAGTATTTGCAATAGGAAGTTATTTATCAAAGCTTGATTTCCTACAGATCTCTACTGCTTTTGGGGAAAAAGGAACAAACTCAGAAGCTCTCAGTTAAAACACAATCTCTTCTCTGCCAGTTTATGACTTCTTACAATTTTTGCTTAGTTGTGGCTTTTGCTTGCATTTGACAGAAAAGTTAGCCAGCAAGTTAAAGGGTGTAAACAGTAACACGAACATAGAAACCGTTTTGTTTCCTCTTAAAAATGGAAATAGGCTGCATGTTTTAGTCATTAGACAATGCAAAATTCTTTTATTGCCATAACTGTTTTTCAGTCTGGTCTCCTACACATCAAAAGATACCTTTAGCTTTCACAGAAGTATTCTGCAATAGGACTAATTGCTCTTTTATGTCAGTTTAAGTACTACACTGAAAAGTGAAAGAATGGCAATTGATCAGCTAAATACAGTAACAATCAAGCAAGCAGATTTTTCTCTTTAAGAGTCAATATTTTGCAGTAATTTATCAAGAGGTAGAACTACTGGATCCTGTATCCCTATACAGCATTATGATCATCCTATTACTTTATATAAGGGTAAAGTAGTAATTCACCCTAGTAACTATCTAATTTTTAGAAAGTGATAAAAGCACTAGAAAGAAACCTGCAAGAGTTATTCCCTGTAAAGTTTTATGAAGCTTACCCTTTTGAGATGAATTGTTTTTAACGTCACTGCACATTCTGATAAAGCCTGCAATGTAATACATAACATTAGACTGTTCAATTAGTCTACTGGTTAAGTATTTAAAGCCAAAGAACCTAATGAGGCCCAAAACAGGGGCTAGTTCATGCCATTATTCCCTCATCTTCCCCTCACACAGTGCTAACAGAGCTTCAACCTTCCAATTTTTGTTCCACTTTAACCAGAAGAATTTGCCACAACTGAACCCAAAATGAACTGAAGAACAGCCACCTGCACATGTTCACTTTCACTAAACATTAGTTAATAAGTAATGTAGGTCAATGTTAAATATTCAGATCTGCAGTTCTCCTAGCTTGATTTTGAGCATAGGTGAACTGCAGAATACAGTACCACAATATTCAGTAATTAATCATCCAGGTATTTCAATAAAAAACACAAAGGATTTTATTTGTGAGACAATGATCTTTTATAATACATGGCTACTGTAGGTTTCTTAGCTTGAATCTGCCCCACAGGAACAAAGGCAAAAAAAAAAAAAAAGTCTGTAATACACACCAGTACTGTCTGGGCATCTGCCAAGTCAAATGTTTGCTTCAAAGGTGCTAAGAAACATGCAGGAACAATGTGCTTGTAGACGAAGTCTGCAAAACCTACTGGTCCATCTTTACCTCCTGAAAAGAGTAACAAAATTCCATGTTCTATTATTGCTTCATGGTTAGTAGCAGCTGCAAAGGAATTATGGAAAGACATTCTTACCCCAAAGCTCCACCAACTTAGAAAGAATAATAAAACAAGTCTTCTGTGCAATAGGATCTGGATAATCCACGGCTCCTTGAATGACAGTGAACAACACACGTTCCACATTCTCTGCACCTTAAACACATTAAAATGAGCTTATTTCAACTTGCAGCCTAAAATGTTTCTGTACTCTTACACTACTTTATATAAATACTGACCTGGAAGATATGCTTCACCTTCAAAATAGCTCTTTTTTGCACAAATATTTTTGGGAAGTTTCCCCTACGATGCAAGACAACTCTTATTTAGGTTATAATTCTTGGTTTTTGTTTGTTTAATTTTGAGATTTTAATTGCTCTTCTGGCCTTTAATACACACAAAGGTGAGGCGGGTACTTTGACCCACCTACAAATACCAGTTTTCTCCTCTCTACCCAACCCTGCTAGAGTTAATTAAAACTCAGCAGCGCTAAAATAGTTTACTTATCTTCCAATATATGGGAAGGTATTTTATCACACTTAAAATTTGGGTTGCATCTGTTTATTGTTTGATTCCTTTAAAACTCAGCCCATCACAAGAAAGCTCTCGCTACTTAATGCCACCCTTTTCCACAGGGATAACCTTCATTTTATGATGGGGAAGGAATTCCACCTATCAGATGAGTCACTTAAAAGCTTCTCAAGTCCCTAGCCATTTTGATGGAATACAAACTGAGAGAATTACTTAAAGAATCAAGTAACTGGACATTTGACTTCAAGTTCCTGCTATAAAATGCACTGATTTGTATTTGGCCCCTAAGGCTAAGGAAAACCTGGTTTAACTACGTATACGACTTCCATAGTGCCTTCTACTATAGATACCAAGATCAAGTAATAGTAATAAAAAGAAACAGATATTACTGATGTGTCCTTCAGAAAATGAAGGCCACAATGAATACTGGCAGCTGTAAGTGGTCTTGCCCAACAGTTTGAGCATTGCTATACACTGCTATACATTGTATTATCTCAGATTCACCCATCAAATACAATGATGCATGAGGATGTATTATGATACACCATTCTTGTCCTTACAGACATAGTGATTACATTTAAGCTGAGAAGATCAATGGGAAGAATATGCCTATTATAGCTGAACTTCACAGACAAATTCTTGCACAACAGGTAAGTTGAGTACTGTATTTATATTAGTCCATTCTACCTTAACATAGGTAATAAGCGCTTGACTTATGATGATCCTATAAGGAACTAGGCCAATGATTTTAGCAGAGAAAACTTAAGATAACCATAGTAGTATCCTTTGAGAAACTGAACTACTTGCCTTGATTAGCTATGACTTCACTCATTCCACTGCCAGTTACTGTCTGTAGAAAAGCAAAGTAACTCCTCCGTAACATTTGTTTTTCTAAAGCAGCAGACTGGTCATTTTCTTCTGCTGGAAGGAGCAACACCTCAAAAATAGCATGAAGTAGTGGCATAAACATCTGTTGCAGAAAAGGTGAAACCTGTGTCTGTGGAGATTGGAAGAGGGTATCAACTAAAACAATTACAGAAATTAAACATTTTGAAGTTAAAACTTAAGGACTTGTTACAATTCACAGCTTTGATTCACCTTTAAAGTTAGTATTTTCATGTACCAACTATATACAACAAAGTTAATCACATCAGGGTCACCATGACCATTACTGCATCTTGACTTACCTGCCACCTACTTCACACCTTTTGTGCAAAAAATATCCAGTCCTATCTAGTCTCATTCTGAGTAGAAACAGAATATTTTTTTCAGGATTTCTCATCCTTCTGTTCAGACAGACACTATTTCAAATTCCATGAAATATCAAGGAGAGCTACTGTAAAGTCACTCTGGTTACAAAAAATGCATCTCCAAGACGTTAAAACTGGCAGCAGGTCATCTTTTGAAGTACTTGTCTTTAAAGACTGCTTAAAGAAGAGTTATCCTGAGCTGAAATACTACTGGCATTACAGAACAAATTCGTTATTTGTCCTACTAACAATGAGAAATATATGTAAGGGCATTAAATTAGTTGAACACTTATGAACTGAAAAACTGAAGGTGTGTGCAATTCAGCCACATCCTCAAGTCCCATAAAGATGCAACTCAATGTTCATTTTTTAAATTAAAAAATAAAACCTGCTTAAGCAAGGTTTTATCTTTAATCTTCTCTTTACTGTACCTTAAAAGTATTCAAGTGAAACTAGGATCTTTATTTTAACATACTGTAATAAGAAAATACCATACATAAGAAAATAAGTAAAATATCATACAAAGGTTAACATTACACATGAACATGGTATTTGTCCAGTCTTGCTCCTGTGACAACTTTTTTTTTTTAGGATGGGGGACCTTACACAGACTATCTTTAATTATCTACTGCTACCCAACTTGCAAAAAGGACTAGAGTAGTAAGAGTTTCCTCCCTAATCTCTGAAATACTTAATTTTTCAAAATTCCTTCTCTGCTCATGGGATACTCCAAACAGATGTCCACACGCTAGATTCACACAGGTATATTATGGCTCTGTTGTACTACTCACAAAATGCACTTGGTAATTTTAATTTTGCATTCTGCTGAGAGACATATTTAAGACTATTTAAAGGGCTTCTTAACCTTCTCATACAGCAATGAATTTTCCATCCCATTCACAACAGTGCAGTATTCTTGTGGCAGCTCCACCGAATGAACTTGTAACTTCATATATTTCATTGAGTATGCATTTGAATTGTTTGGAACTAGGAAGCTCTCAAAGGCTACACTTCAAGAACCTCTGATAGATAATGAGTTGACAGTCCTGCTCCCACTTAATACATATCTCATGCCTCCATTTCAAAACCTCTGTGTATTTCTCAGCTGATTTTGTGTAACAATGCATTAAGCCTCAGCATACATTTTTAATGCAATGCCACTGCATTGACATCTTGTAAATCAATATTCCTCCCTATATGCACATCTGATATTCCTGTATCTCCTGGAAATCTCATTAAAAGAAATGAGAAAATTCCCTCTGGAGCTTGTATAGTTTGTAATATTAGCTTAACACTCTAATGGGGGGCATAAAGTTAATTGTATCAATAAAAAAAATAACGTTGTGCTCCAAGGAGTATTTTATTTTGAAATGTAAAACCCAAAAATTTAGAAATAGCACAAAATTCTTAAGACTAATCAAAGAAAAACACTCTTTAATCCCTGAGTCCAGCAATGTATGACAGGTGGTTGAAGACTATGTTTCCAAGGTTCTGAGACAAAGCTATTTTTCTGGAACCAGAAAAGAAGAGATATCAGCAACACTTTGATCCTGAAAAGCTTACCCATTATCATACCTTAAACTTAGCTGTTATTTGATTTATAAGAGGAATGAATTCTTGAAGATCTTTTGCTTCACAATCTTTAAGCATGTGTTCAGAGGCAGAAGGAATGAATGGAAGAACTTCTTCCTCCAGGCAAATAATCATGCGGTGAAGGAAAGTGCGGACACCGCTTCTCAGGACTTCCTTTTGTAATGGACAACTGAGAGCTGGCAAAAATGTTTGTAAGCAGTCCAGATAAACCTCTGAGCAGCCACATTGTTTTACAGTTTGCTTATTGCTGAAAGCCTTGCTGGTTCGGCTGTAAAAGCAATACACCAAGTTTTATATAAGCTCACATTCCACTACAATGAAGCAGCAATAACACCGAGAACAGCATATGCTTTAAAACCCATGCAACAAACTAGAACATTTCATGAAATGGGAGCCAAACACTGGAAGTAATGAAAAGAATTATTTGATATGAAGTAGATACACTTTGGCAGTTTTTTGAGAATTAAATTTAATTTACAAACAACATATGATTAGAATAGTTCCAAACAGTTCTTTGAGGAAGGGCATAGATCCTGGTTCATTATAAGCTTGCTCAATATTCTCCATATCTACATCCACAGCAGCCTTTTCTAAGGGAACTTAAATAATTTTCTGGGATACTGTAAGAAATTCTACAACCACTAATGATTTTCTAGGTCAATAAAGCACAGGTAGAAACTCACCCACTCTCCCAATAAATCCTTTACATTTCCCTTTTACTCAAACCAGAAACACACACAGAGTCACTGTGCTGTACCTACCTAGCAAACCCAACAGCATGATTGAGGCAGTCAGCCAGTGCCATCTGTCTGTCCTCATCTTGTGCCATCATCAGTTTTTCTAACAGTACTTTGAACTTCTCCATCAGTGGAGTCAACAAATTCCTCATTAGAACTTGTTTTCTTTCTGCAGAGTATTCACTGTTAACTATTAATACTCCAGCTGTTTCATAAATGAAAAGTTGATCATCACTGCTTAAAAGAGCCTGGTAACCATTTTCCTAAAATGGAAGATAACAGGCATAATTCAGTAAATGCCCTTTATCAAAGTTGTCTTCTCAAAGTTTAAAGATACTACTCCTTCTTTAATCCCATCTAAGTAATCCCTATGGTACATTTCCAACAGTTTTACTCTCTTGCTACTTAAGCAGAAGCATCAATTACAAGTAAAAACATAGTTGGAACAATTATTTTTATACTATTTAGGAAGATAGCATTCTTTATATACCCATCTCTAGCCTATACTCCCAGAAACACACACAGATTATTAAAATTAGGTACAAATGTAAAATTAGGTACAAACGTAAGCACTCAAGTGATCTCACACCAAAAAAGCAGGACAATTATTTGTGCTTAAATGTTTGTGTGCTACAATTTAGTAAGTACTCAGGCATACTGATGAGTAAGTACAAGGCTTATTTATTACAAAAACCTGCTATAAATACTCACAGGAGGAGAAAGTTCCAGCAGGTCTTGTATTCTATTAAGAACATCTTCAATAAAGGGATTCATTTGCTTACTGAAGTAAAACACAAGTACATAACACTATTTAGAAGTGTGTGCATTTTTACAGGTTTCCTGTTTTTTTAAGGTGTAAAGCTAGACAGTAAACTACCTTCTCAATAGAGAACTCCCCTTTAAATAGCAAAGCACTGTTGTAGAAGTCTGGCTTATGGATACGGTGCTTGTGGTAGGCCAAATAGATACATTGCATAGTGGGAAATAAACATTTCTTTCCCTCATTTTTTAAAATCATACATAAATAGCCTCACCAATCTGAGTGAAACACGTTCATTAACAGTTGAAAAATAGGATCCTTCTGAAATCAGAACCATCTTGCAGCTTCTCCTGCCTCTACATTAAATACATGCCTGTGAAATAAGACCAACAGGACAGGACTGTTTGAAGGTCTAATACACTGAATAAACTTTATCAGTATAAATTCTGTAAATATTCAGAATTTGGTCAGGGACCGGGAAGAGTTACTTTTGGGAGTCTCCAGATCCACTCAATCTCAGCTCTGCTCACTGAGGAAAAGCGGGACAGATGTTTACACCGTTGATCGAGTTTTAGCATCTAATCAAAATAGGCTAAGCGTATGTGTATTCCAGTTTGTTCTGTGACAAATGTTTCCACTGCTACCTTAGTATTACACAATAGGACAACCCTGCTAGAGCACTGTTTTGCTGCATTACTTCATCGCGGTCCATTTGAAGCCCAGCCTGTTTCAGAGACAACTGTGATGTACAGAAGGGCCAGGTATGGTAAATTCAGTGCATTTTGGATACATTTGTAACAGCTTTACTCACTTAAGAGACTTGACAAATCGGGAAAAGAGGTAAGCTGTTCGACTTCGTACTTTGGGACTTGTATGGCGAAGACCACGGTGATCTAAAAATGCCATCTGCAATCGAGAAAGTATCTCAGTCTTAGAATCCCTAAACAAGGAGGAGAAAAGCTAAACAACCAGCAATTTAAGAAACCTAGCTTCTTCAGTGATCTTCAGATAAGAAATTTCCTAAGTCTAAAGAACTTATCTAGTTGAAATGTAAATGAGATGAAACTTACTAGAACAGTTGGAATGTGCTGAGGTTCAACAGCAAAAAATTTTTCATATCTAACCACTGTTTCAAAGAATTCCAGGGTCACTGATGTATGTTGATAGGCACTAACACCAGAAGTCACCAGCTACAAATAAAAGGATTAGCAAGTTAGTACTTTAGGTGTTTATAACACCAAATGACAGTGTAAGTGGCTCATCTTAATTACCAGCATGTCATCTGAAGTGTTCCAGTCTTCATTAGCATTTTTAAATTGCTTCCACAACACACATGCTTACCGTTCTCATCATGTCTTGTAAAGCTGTAGCTTTTGTAACATCACCAGAGAAGTGAGCACCATGAGATACAGGAAGAGCCTCAGCCAACATATACAGCAGTCTTATTGCTACTTCTACTTCCATAAATCGCGTCGTCTGCCAATTCCTAGAGAAAGAATAAGGTCATGTTAGTCTGTAGTAGCTTATGGAATAATAACAGTTCTACATATTAGTATTTTCTTTTGAGCCTTCTTCAGATGCACAACATAAAAGAGCAGATTTAAACTAAGTAAAACACTATAAGGCCTAGGCAGTATTTCAGGATGTTTCTGGAAGACTTTATCCACATGTACAGTGCCTCTCCATCAGAGGGCTACCAATTTTCTCTTTTACCGGTTTCAACTCGAAAGCTACAGATTTCTCAAAACCACCTATTATGACATGTGGACAAGTCACTCAGCTTCACTCAAAAAGAGGGCTCGCTAAAGAGCGGGTACAAGGAAACCACCACCAATACCGGATTCCTATTTGTCTACACACAACTGCCATCCTAGTCAGATAACTAGTAACGTTTGTTTATTTACATTCATAGTTTCCAGGATTTGTTCTACTCTTTTGGTAAAAAAAAATAAAAAATAAAAAATCACTTTTGTTTCTTTTCCCTATCCAACCTTGGTTTTATGATAGCAGTAATATATAAAATTATTTGCCATATCTCATAAGCATTTCCTTGAGGAAAAATAGCTGCCATTTAAGGTAACAAGAAAACAGCTTTTTCTTTCTAAGCAGCTGAGTAAAAGATTCTACAGTATCATATGTATCATGAAGTTGTAATGAGCTCATTCTATCAATTGGCTTTGCCTTGCTACATCACACTTATGTTCATTACAAACTCTGACAGTTACAAGGCAAAAAAGCTAAAGGCATCATGTAAACAAGTTAAAAAACCTAACTTACTGAAGTGTAGTGTTAAAAACTCTGCGGACAGATGCCAACAGTAACTCTGGCGAGACCTGAGCAAGTCTGTCCAGCAACAGTTTCAACTGTTTTCTGTACTCCACAAACATGGCTTCATCTTCACCCTGCAAAACATTCACACATCAGGGATGTCTGTATTTTAATTTTTAAATTAATCCACAACCATTTTAGACCATTACACCTAAAACAAAAAACATGTACATACAAGAACAGTACACAATGCTCAGAAAATTCAGTAATGCTCACCCTATGCTCTTGCAACATAACAGCAGGCTCCTTTTTTTGGCTGGTTGTAATATGATGAGATCCACTGCATTCAGTCCAGAAACATATTAAAAAGGCTTTCCAAACTGAAAACTAGCCAAAAGTACAAGAAAGAATATGCTCTTGGCAAAGCCTTATTGACCCAGTTCTTAACAGTTGACTCACTCCTCAAAGATGTTCTTTCTCAGCATCTAGCTTAGCTTTAAAATTAATCTGACAGAAACATTTATGATGGACTGCATTCAGTTTAAGTTAACTTTTTTAAGACTATAGCTCTCCGAACAGCCTGCAGCAAAAGTAAATCTGTCCAACATATTCAATCATTATTGATGGCTGAAAGAGATTTGACCATCTGAAGTAGGTCAAGCAGCATCTCAGAGTTTCATGACACAATGTTTCTCAAATCTTTTTGCAAGACAGAAGCAATGTGCAGAAACATGCAAACCCACATGAACAAGCCAGCCTAACAGCTATGTTTAGCTAACAGCACAGCTGTATTTGCCTAAGAAGAGTTAAGCACAAATGCAGCCAGAAATATTCTGTTAAATGAACTGTTTTGGATATCCCCCTTTACTACATTGTTTTTCCTATGCAGATATGCCCGGAGGTTAAAAAAAGCTTTCCACATAGGAAAAAAATTCAGCCTACAGACCTTTGCTTCCTACCTTCAAATCCTTAGTCTATGAAAAATATGGATTTTAAAAGCATAAGTTTTAATATGTGCAATTTAAGTTGTATTTGTTCATAACACAATACCTCATTTTCAAAATTATATTCTTCA